TTCCTAAGAGGGTCCTAATTGCATGGCCCTAACGAGGGGCTGCTTCACACCATGGCTGTGCTGGGCTGGAAGTTTGGGGTGGAGGTGGGGGTGTCCACCCCACACGTACGTCCTGGGTACCCCCCGAGGGGTGAGAATGGGCTGGGATCTGCAGCGGGGTGTGGAGGAGCCCCTTCCACAGCTGCCCAAACCCGCAGATCCTCTTGTCCCCAACAGCCCCAACATGGTTTTGCCTGGCTCCCCTCATCCCCCATAGCTCTCCCCACTCCTTAGAGCTTCCTACAGCTTCGTATCGGTCCCTGTAGCTCCCCTGCTCCCCAGAACTCCTTTGCCTCCCCCATTTCCAGTGATTTCCCCCAGCTCCCCATTATTACCAAGATTTTCCCCCGTTCCCCATGGCTTCTGACACCCCCCTTGCCCTCTCCTTTCTGCTTTGTCTGCCTGGCCCCAGCACGGTTGGGGAACCACCCCCCAAACCACGGGGGGAACAACGTCCCCACACCGGGGTGCACAAGGCCAGCCAGCACCCCGGCCCACGCACCCCGACTTTCAAACCCAGGAGGGCTCAGAAGGCCCCCGAATCCCCTGTGTACCCACGTAGAACGGTCTGGGTGGTGCAAGAATGGTCTGAAGGCATCTGAAAAGGCACAGGATGCCATCGTAGTCCCTAGAATCACAGAATCATTAAGGCTGGAAAAGACCTCTAAGATAATCAAGTCCAGCCATCAACCCAACACCACCACCATGCCTGCTAAACCATGTCCCCAAGTGCCACATCTACATGGTTTTTGAACCCCTCCAGAGATGGGGACTCCCCCACTGCCCTGGGTAGCCTGGGCCAACCCCTGACCACTCTCTTATGAAAGAAATTTTCCCCACTATCCAATCTGAACCTCCCCTGACCCAGCTTGAGGCCATCCCCTCTCGTCCTGTCGCTGGTTACTTGGGAGAAGAGACCAACAATCACCTCACTGCACCCTCCTGTCAGGTGGTTGTAGAGAGCATAGTTATTACCCTGAAATTATCCCAGTTGCAAAACTACGGTATTACTCAGACGAAATACAAGGATTTAAAGAAATTAAGGAAAACCCCTGATTTTTCCCCTTCTTTTCTCTCAGTTGCCTGGAACTGGTTGGGAAGGGCTGGGAAAATGGGGGATCCTCTACCTCCAACCTCTCCCTCTGCTCAGTTATAAACCCCCTTCCACTTTGCTTCTCCAAATTCCCCGTGGCGTAGCTCGCCCTGGGGTGCGGATCCGACCCCTCTCAGTGCGTTACCTCCTGTCCCAGCCGGGCTCGGGGCAGGTTGGGGCATTAAATGGAGGACACCACCACCCCCACATGCACACTTGTGGGGTGAGGCTCCCTCCTTTTCTCAGACTTCTTGGGGTTCCCTGGCTGCGTCTCCTCCCTCTGCGGGGAGGAAGCGTTGGGGTGGATTTTTGGGGTGATGCCAGGGGCTGGAATGCGGGATGTCCGCCCCGGGCGGGGAGTTGCCACGCCAGAGCCCCGCCGGCTCTTCCCCGTGAACGCCATCGTCACGCGCCTTGCTGTCACCTCCGGGGCGCTGGCGCGTGCCTTCCCCGTCCGGTCGGGTAAACTGAGGCACCGGGAAATGCTTTGCTGGTGTCGCACCGGATAACCGGCGCGGTGACTCGTGCTGCAAGGTCTGCCAAGTGCCTGGTTTGGAATCCAGAGATGGGGAGGGGGGAGGTTTGGCTTTAACGCTGGCTTTCCCGGGGTGATACTGGGCATTCTGCAGGGGGGTGACCCCCTGCGCTGGGTCCCCCCCATCCCCGAGCCCCGACGGGGTCTCGAACCCGGGTCCCGACGGGATTACACTCCCCCCACAGTCGCCCACCGCACTACAACTCCCGGCGTGCCTCGGGGCGGGCGGGGGCCGGCGCGGCGTTCCAGGCGCAACCAATGGCGAAGGGGCGGGGCGG